ATCTCTACGTCCAACCATGTTGCTGCAAATGACATTATTTTTTTTTTCATGGCTGAGTAGAATACCATTGTATAAATATACTACTACTTCTTTATCCAGTCAGCTGTCAATGGACATTTGGGTTGTTGCCATGTCCTGGCTATTATAAATAGTGCTGCTGTGAGCATTGTGGTGCATGTGACTTTTTGAATTAGAGTTTTCTTCTGACATATGCCCGGGAGTGGGAAGGCTGGATCATGAGTTAAGTCCATTTTCAGGTTTTAAAGGAACCTCCACACTGTCATCTCTAGTGACAATGCAGCCCGTTTTGTGAAAGCAGAGCCATGCTCAGAAAGTAACGGGTATTTCTAGGGGCCAGAAATGAAGCGCAGTGAGTGTGGCCTGTTCAAGAATCAGAGGGCAGTCTGCCAGGGCTGGAGGAGAGTGACAAGGGAAGTGTGGTACAGGTAGGATTCAGACCACGTTGGGACCTGACAGGCTGGGATAAGGAGCCTGGACTTGCAGTCATCCCTTGGTAACCATGGGGCACTGGTTCCAGGACTCCCCCCTGACGTCAACATCCACGGATGCTGACGCCTCTTGTATAAAATGACATAGGACTTGCATGGAACTCATGTACATCCTCCCATGTACTTCTTTTTATATACACAAATTTTTTTTATTGAGTTATAGTCATTTTACAATGTTGCATCAAATTCCAGCATACAGCACAAATTTTCAGTTATACATGAATATACACATATATTTGTTGTCACTTTCTCTTTTGCTGTGTCCTCCTGTGTACTTTAAATTATCTCTAGATTACTCATGGTATCTAATACAACATGAATGCTATGTAAGTAGTTGCCAGTGTGTGGCCATTTTTAGTGTTGCTTTTTGAAAATTTCTGTTTTTTTCCCGAATATTTTCAATCCATAGTTAGTTGAATCTGCTGGATAGGGAGCCCCTAGATACGGAGAACCCCCACGCTCCTCCTTCCCACCTCCTAAATGTCCACTGCAAGCACTGAAGTTGTCCAAACATAGAAGAGCGCCATTTACCTGCTGGAAACGCTGAGGAATTCCTTCAGCATATGCAGCGCAGGACAGAAGGCTTAAGGCCAACTAGTGGGAAAGGAGGGCCTGCCTGGAGAGGAAGGAGGAAGGACCGCAGTGGAAGCCAGCTCGTACCCTTACTGCAGCTAGCTGATAGCAGTGAGGGACGCCGAGGAACAGGAGACACGTCACGTGGGAGGTAATCCGGGCCGCCAGGTGCAGGGTTCACATAGCTGGGACCCAGTTTGCAAGATCAAAATAACAAGGAGGGAGAGGGACTGGCTCAGCCCCAGGATCCTGACAACGGCCACAGTGCCGTGACCCCAGCTAATGCGGCTCCCCTAGTAAGCCAGAAAAAGGAAACTCTGAGCCAAGATATTGCAGATTCCACCGCAGCCACACGGATAACTAGATCTCTAACCTGACAAAATGTAACCACCAGAAAGAGGAATCTTTCCTTTTCTCTTCATTTGGACTTTTGGACAGGGAGCCACACATGTCTGATGGGAACCACCTTTAATCCGATAGAGAGCTCACTTTTTCAGGAATAAGCATGGAGAAAAAGAGTGGGGTGATGGTTTAAAGCGGAAGTCAAACGGAAGACCATCTGAGAAATGGTAAAAACATGCTTCTCAATGAATTCGAGTTATGGCGAAAAGAAGGAGGAAGGTTAAGGAAATCTCTATTAATATCCATTCACCATACAAGACTAGCCAGCCATAAAAAGACAGCACCTTAAATTAAGAAATTTTTTTTTTGGTGATGAAAAACAATGCCTTATTTTAAAACAAGGCTTGGGCCATCAACAACACGCTGAGAGCTGTTGATGAGGAGAACATAAATCTACATATATATATGTAAGTGTTTCAAGACCACCGCTCGAAAAAAATTAGTCAATCATGTTTCCAGTTGATTGGGAAATCCCGACAAGTAAATAACCCAAAGTGCGAAAGACATGGGATTAAATAGTGGTAGTGAGCAATGAAATCCAAGATGTTTATACCTATATTTTCTTTGTTAATGTAACAAACTTAAAGCAACTGTCTAAAAAGTAGTAACTGGAGCACACAGACAAACACACACACACACACACATACACACACAATTTGGAACAGCAGAGAGGTAAAATATGCTAAATTTATCATTATTGAGGAACAGGATCTAATAGGTTATTTCATTTTTGAGACTCATAGGAATACTGGTCCAATTGCATATAAAGTTATGAACTTAGAGATGATTTATAAAAATTTAGAGAGAATTTTCATTAAGAGGCAATATAGCTTCCAAATCACTGAAGAGAAAATTAACAACAAAAAATTAATCAATCCAGGTAATATGGAGTAACAGAGACCATATTTACCACCCTAAAATAAACCACAAAATGGATAAAATATATGAAGCAATGATTTTTAAGACACGTGAAAACGATCATCCACTAGGGCCCTGTCCTGCCACCCCCATACCAAGGCTGCTAGGCCTACTACTGCCATCAAAAAGGATGTCCACCAGGAGGCGACATTGCCTCCCTCTGCCCCTGCTGCAGAGCCAGTTCTGAGCAGTCCTTTTCCAGGTTTTGGGAGGCAGCACCCAGAAGTGCTCTAGTGGGCCTTTGTCCCTTTTAGCCACCAGCAAAGGGATCAAGGATGAGCAGTGAGCCTCCTTCCTCATCCAAGACCTAAGAACCTATCTGACTTCTGAGCAGCCCTTCATTCTTGTCTGCTGTCTGGTACTCTCCGCCCGGCTTCCCGAGTCCCCGGCTTGGGCAGCCTGCACGCTGGCCACAGCCCATAAGAATCTGTTCCCCCGCCAAGAGGCCACATGTGATCGTAAGCAGGGCTCCAGGCCTCTGGAACAGCGTGGCTTGGACTGCGTCCTGGTCCTGGGCTCGTGAGCTTCATGCCCTTGGTTGAGTCAGTTAACATCTCTAAGGTACAGTTTCCTCATCAGTAAAATGAAGACATAATCAATATGGAAAAAAAATCAGATTCTGAGGGGGATTAAATTTCTGGTGATTGAAGATTATTTTAATTTTGAATTATACAGCAAAGGACATCATACAACTTTTACTACTTCATAATTCTAAAGGACAGCTTCTACTATTAAAACTAATGCATGCACGTACACATAAACACACGTGCAGACACACTGACTCTGCTCCACATACATCCCCATGTGCACACACACATGGAGTCATGTACCACACACACACATACCATACACACAACCACACATGTCCTCAGGCGCACACACACACACACAACATACAGAACCACGTACATCCCCAGGCGCGTGTGCGCGCACACACACACACAGTCACTGTCATGTACCACACACGTCCCCAGGTGCGTGCGTGCACACACACAATTCATACACACTTTGGTGTTATTCTAAATCAATTTACAATTGAGGGTCTCAGTGTCCATTGTTTTATCCACTCAGAAGATCCTGACTTTGGAGGGTGAAGCAGGAGCCCCTCCTCTCTGGAGATGGTCTTTATCACTTACAGTTGCAGTAGAGCCAACATAACTGCTCTGGACCTTTGGAAGTGCAGGGCCAGAGCATACCTAGGACTCACATCCTATACGT